TACTCCATTGGCAGAAACTTTTGACTTAAATTTTCAAACTAACCAGACAAATAATCTTACACATTCTGAAAACAAGATTATTATTCTTACACAATCAGTTCTTGTTTAGTAAATCTGTCTCAAAACAAGATCAAAAAGACTTTTTGGCTGAATATAAGATTTTAAAACTTGGTAAGATGGACAGTTTTTGCAGTGTGAACGACTGCTAAAAACCTTAATTGTTTAAGAAGACCTAATTTACCTAATTTCTCTCTGGGATCAATAAAGTTTTTTTTTTAATTGAATTGTATTGAAGACAAAATGGAGCAAGACTAACGTTTTATTTAACTTTTAATTTTTCCACGGGGAGAAATTTTTATAATTTCTTTTTTTGAAAAAACAACAATTATAAGACATATAGCACCCATCTTTTCAAATGAGCTAAACTTTTTCAATATAGCACAAGGTGTGCAGAAGTAGTTAGACTGCAAAAACATGTACATAAAAACACAAAATAGGAAAACACTGGTGTGAATGCTGAATAAAATCTAAGCTTTCTTGGTAAATTTTATAGCTATGACAATGCTAAGGGTTAGCATAATGTGACAGAAACTAATCAATTGTGACTGAAACCTACCCAAAGAGAACTCCAAGAGCCCCTAAAGGTGTGACTATCACAGCAGGGGCCACGTTGTAAGCCAGGAAATTACCAATCTGACCAATAATCACTAAGAACGGTGTAAACAGACAGGACGTTAGCTGAGGTTAAAGATCAAAGTTCCTGTTCATTTTGCACATAAGTACAAACTCACTGCACAGAGTGCCACTCCACCACACTGCATCAGTGAGGTAGGATCCTCCTAAAAGAAAACAACAGTAAAAGTTGACTGTGTTGCCACGAGCCTATGCGACTTTTTACACACTTTTCGAAACAACAATGTAAAATACACTTCAAGGAACCACTTTTTCTTTTTGATTTTTTACTTCTACCTCTGTTTCGTGAACGTAGTATTCCTTTTTTCTGAAGAACAAATGTCGACCCATTGATAAMACTGGAAATTACAGTAATAATTATTCCCAACGAAACACCGGTTAATCTAGTTTCGTCGGCCATTTTCTCCTGCCTGGTTTTGTGGAGTAACAGCGCTACCTAGCGGTCAGTTTTTACCCATGTTCCAGGTCAACTCCGCCCCTCCTTATGTCCCGCCTTGAGTCTGAAAGTGACGCAAATTTAAAACACCGGTTAGCTTGAGCGGGCGGAGTGAATCCCAACGACGCATTACCAGGCGGCACAAACTCCGCCTCCGGTTCTGTAGTGTAATAAATCTAACATCCCCTGTCTGACAGTCAGAACTACGTAATTTGTTTCCATGCCTTCCGCCCTGGTCTCAGACCTGCCAATCAAACGCAGTACCGAACGTCTTGTTAATGCAGCAAAGCAGCTGATAATAGCTTGAGAAGTGACCGCAGGTAATTTTAAAAAGAAAATGTTGCCAACATACGAGTGTTATGAATTGTCTTTATAACCTACGAAGCGCTCCTTTTCATATGTGGTAGTGTCATTGCCTTTGAAGCTTTTTCACCGTGGGTGAGAGCTAGTTTAGCTTTGGCCAGCTAACGTTGTGTTAGCTGTTTATCAGACGAATTTATTAGCCATATGTTCGAGCTAACGCGAAGCGATAAACATTGCGTTATGCTTTCAATGATGCTGTGTCAGAGAGCTCTTTTATCCGCTGCTTGAGTGTCTGTTATCAGACTTGCTAACAATCGAAAACCAAGGTTAAAAATGCACATCCCATTGCTAGCATTTATGCTACAATATCTTCAATTTCTGATATTTTCATGCAGCCATAGCGAATCTGAATTCAACTCATAAAATGATAATTTTTGGTCCAGCTTATGTTTTTTTTAACACGAGAAAATTATATTGACTTACTGTGTAAAGTCTTTTTGTCAAATATTATACTAAAACATTTTATAACCTGTACTATTCTGCTACTATTTGATCAAACCCTGTGTTTATTTGTTATTGAATTCTGAACTGACACAGTCTGAACATAAGTATTTGTGTACAATAAGGTCACATTGTGTCCTAAGATCAGCTTAGGCTTCTTTGAGCCCTGAGCCTTTATGAATTTTGACACAGTCTCTCATTCTGTTTGTGTTGCAGGTTGGCTGCAATTGCAGCCAGGAGAGAAGGGGGGAAGATGCCTTCTCCATCTTTTACCCTGGACGCTCAGCTGAGGTTCCATGACAAATGGCTAAAAATAGACTTACAGGTATATAAATAAAAACACATTTGGATTTGCTAAGAAGTCATAATTTAGGTGGCTGTTTCACGCAGCCACTGACATCTTAGGTTAGATTTGACAACAGAAGTTTGCCAGTGTTTGGTAACTATTATTTTTTCTCTTTTTTGGTGCAGCTCTGTTTATAATTTATATTTGTCTATGTTGAGTACACACGGTTCAATGATGGATGATTGTTTTGGTGTGACTGACTTATTTTTCATGAGTATTTAAGCAGTTTCTACTGAATGCTGAGATAAAAGGAATTCAGAAAGTAGTGAGTTTTTCTTGTCCGTGTTKGTAAAATATCTCCTAAACCACTGAACAGAGTTTAATGAAGCTTTCAGAAAATTATCTTTAGACCTATGTCTCCAACTGATCAAATTGAGATGGCTGCCACAGCTAAGTGACRGTCAGTTTAACAGATATCCAGCTAATATTTGACGTGGTAGCATCCCCAACTTGTATTCCAAGCATGAACTGATTGCACTCTGTTTTTAAAACTATGCCATCAATTAACAGTYAGCTGTGTCTGTTAGCAAAGTTGTRTRTTTGTTAGCAAGGTTTCTCATGARCTACGGGATGGATTTTAATGAAACTTTCAGAAAGTAATCCCTGAAGATACATTTACAATGATATACTTTTAGAGTAAATCAAAATGGCCACCTCACCGACATAAGGAAACAAAAATTCCTGTAACCCTGTCACATTTAGATATTTAGATCAAATTTGGTATGGTAGTAGCTGAGAGTTATTCATAATACATGCCCCCAAGTGCTTCATTTTGGACRTTTTTGCTTCAAACTTTAATATGAACTGTTAGCATCAACCCTGCGTTTCTGTCAGCAAAATATTTTACAGACAAATTTTTATGAAACTTTCAGAAATGAACCTTTTGGATGTACATCTACTAATAAATAACCTTTAGTCACCCCTATTCTACTATAGTTACTCCAAACTAAAACATTTGGCACGGTCTTGCAACATTGCATATAACTGTTAATTATATAGTTTATAAGATTAAACCAAATAGGCTTAAAACTGTCATTTTTTCAACATAAGATGATCTCTGTATAAAAGTCTGGCTATGAAAGGCCGAAGGCAACAACCAGCCCAGCAAGCCTTTAATTCAGAGCAGGTTTAAATGCTGCATCAAGCCTCATGCACATTTAATTATTGTTTTTTTCATCTCGTGTGAGAGAAGAGCTGCAGCCCGTAATAACACAAACAGCTGAGGATGTGATTTCCTAAGGCCAAAGTTTTGCTGTAAACACAAACTCATGTTGGTTGTGAGAACAAGAGAAAAACAGTCTTTTCTTGCCGTATAAGGAATCTGGGTGAGACTGTCACTCAGAGAAGATTTGGAATAATGACTGCCTCTCTTTGAACTTAGTGTGGATTACTAAATTATAACGTRTTATTGTGGCCGGATGTTATATTTTCCTGTTGGTGGGCTCGGTCGTGTCAGTAAGTGTCAGTGTTTGTGAAATTAAGATATGAAATCCTTGAAACAAAGCGTTGGTTTTCACAGGTTGAAAACCCTTAATTATTTATGCAATAATATCCTACTGTAGGGTTGTTTCGTTCATTAACTTATTTTCTAGCAGCTGTTTAAAGAATCAGTTGAGCTTTGAAGATAAAGATAAACTTGTCTTCTTAAGCCATGAAAAGCATAGAAGAGTTTTTTTGTCCAGTAGAAAAATAAAGAAAAAACAATTATTAAGAAGCTGAATGTAACAGTTTGAATGGAAAGTGATAAAATATAAATAAAAATAGTGTTGCCCAAGTTAGTTATTATTATAGCTGTGGTTATAACACATTCTCAACCCCGACTTGTCACATATTGATGCTTGTCCAGGTTACCTCTGCGTCCGTTTTGACGCGTTGCATAACCCCCTTGTGTCAGTTATTGACACACAGGGCTTTTCCAGGGTGTTTGGGTTGGGGTCCGTGGTTAATATTAGAGATCCGGATTACTGGTTAATTTTAGGTTATGAGGTCAGGGAGAGGATGTCCAGGGCTAATGGAAGTTAAATTTAGGGTTTGGGACAGTTAGTTGTATATTTTCTACACCAGAGGTTCTAAAACTGGGGTCCCAGAGAGAGGTGTCTTGGGTCCTCAAAAAATTTTAACTAAATTGTTAATTTGGTTTTTATTTTTAAAAAATGCATGGAGAACAATGAACTAATAAAACAAATATAATAAACTTCATAAAAATATATATTCCCATGGCATTTAGAGGTTGAAATGACAATAAATTATCTTTTAAAACAGCACGGGATTTATGAGTGGGTCGCTAGAATTTTTTCACCCTTGTAAGGGGTCTCCAGACTCAAATGGCCTGAGAACCCYTGTTTTACACCTTTCAAAAATATGACAGCAGGCCCCTCCTCCTTGTTCTCATCTCATCAATAACTGACAYGAGGGGCGTACTCGAGACGTCAAAATCTGACACAGAGGGAAACTTGGACCAAGTGTCAATACRTGACAAGTTGGGAGTGAGAATGAGCTCGTGGTTATGGTGTTTTTCAAATAATTAATGAGTTTAAAAGGCGATTATGGTAAAAAGTTGTGAATTAACATTACTGTTAATGACTTGGTGAGTTTCTCTTTTGTCAGCGGGCGTTCTCTCCRGAGGGGCTGAGTGAGATGTGGAATGAAATGGTGAAAGACGAGGAGATCACGTTTAACGGAGAGGAATCGGCTCACACAGGTGCGCCTCTATTTTTTACGTTATTATGCATTTTACCCTGCGTTAGAGACACAGGAGCAGGCGCGGTGCTTGTAGCGAGCACCTGAGAATGATTTGGTACGTTTTTCATTTGTTCATCAGAAGATTGCACGGATTGTTTTGGAACTCAGAAGAAGGATGAGCCCAATGATAAAGAAAAGAAGGAGGAAGAGGAGACGCCAACATCTGCACATCACTCCATCATTGAGACCTGGGACTGGGGCCGACAACCAGGTACAAGTTCTACTTTACCTTCTTATTGTCCTGCTCTCCCTCTCATCTTGCTTTTTATTTTTTTATTTTTACAACTTTCTATTCCAAGTGGGGTAATTAATACTCTGCTGACTCCAGGCAGTTTCACAACACCTACATGTTGACTAGATACAATTAGACTCACCATTTCAACACACAGCCAGCCTCTCTGTTTATTAATTTCATGTCTGTCAGGCTCAGCTGATGTGCTCATGTTTTTCTAGCTCCTGAGTTKTGGAAACTGAAGTGACAACTTGCACTCTGTATGGCTGAGTGGTTATTTTTACCCAGCAGAGCGTAGTCCTGGTACACATTACAGCGTAGCTGAGAGCGGGTGCCGTCTCTCACCCTGAGTGTGTTTACTGCAGGAACTGGGTGGGACAGTGTTTTTGGTTGCAGGAGATAAGCGTCGGGTCGGGCTTCAGGCTGTTGTTCTGTGACTGGAGGTTTAGCTCGAAGCTACACGACGCTTCTCCTCCTCTTATTGATTACAGCTGGGAGTCACGCTGCTCTGAGGTGACAGTGAGTGGAACTGTTGCTACACAAACGTGTGCTTTTTTATTGATGCTCAAAGTTTCAGCAGCGCACGTCCTGTTTTTCCACCATCTGATCAGATTTGTGGAACATGCTGGCGTCAGCAGTCAGAATTCGGACCTCAGCCATTGTGCTGAATCTATTTAATGAACTTATTTGCCCTCTCTGTTCCATGAAGGATGTTTGACCAACATTTGAATTCAGCATTTTCTAGGAAACGAGATCATTTATTGCCAAAGTTGAGCTCGGATGCCGATCTGTTCTGACAGCTGAGCTCATCTGCCTGCAGGCCAGTCTGGCTCACATACGGCTTAAGTGGATTTCTGACATGCTATATTGGCTCATCTCATTTTCCCTGTCATTGTGTTTAACTCGACAGAACAGTGGACAGTTAGTTGTTATGAAAGTCAGTCAGGAATATTATATAATGTGGTCAAAGTTTTCTATTATGTTTTAATTAATAAGTCTCACAAGTAAAAAAGCTTAAGCATCAAAGAATCTTTTCATCAAATAAAATAAAACTGTTTTCAAGCTGAACCTCTTTTTCCAAAATATCCAAAGTTTTTTTTTTGTCATTTAAGTTTTTAATAAAAGGAAATTTCAAAGCCACATAATTAATTTACATAACATGAACATTTTTTTTACATTTTAATAATAACCCCAGATTTTTATGAAGAGCGAATCTTTCTCACTAAATTTGTCATTAGACTAGGACATAAGGGTGTCCAGGGACTCGTCAAGTTAATCGTTATCGGCTAAATTTTTTTGCCAATATTGCCCAACCCTACTGCAAAGGTACAGTATCTTTATATTCTGTTTGGGTCAGATTTTTCAGTCCRTTCAAACTTCTCTATTTTTGATGACGTTTTTAAAACAATGACATCACAGTATTTGCTGCAAAACTGACAAAAAAGTCATGGACTTCAGGCTTACAAATTTCCTGAATCCACGGTTATGCAGGTTGGTGCTCTCCATTCTCCTCTGGTTCTGGGTCAGACTCTGGTTCTGGGTCAGACTCTGGCTCCAACATGTAAGGCTGGATGGACAAGTCTTCTGTTGTTGACATCTTTTATTAATTTAAAAATAAAAAGTTTCTGCGCTGCAGAATATTCATATCTCTGCTATAATCAGACTACAAAAATGGCCGAACAGGGTGGAGTAGACAGTGATCAATGGGAGTGACGTCCCAACGCCCCTCTGGCTAAATACCAGTTAAAAGTATACTTGAATAACAAGTGAAAACCTGACCGTTTGTTTCTATAAATTACAGTTTTATATTTAATGTTTCTTTTGTTTTCTATTTATATGTTTTCAAATATCTCAGTGCAAGTGTTCATAAAATATTATTTTCTCAGTTAGAAAGGTCATGGTTAACCTAAGTTGTTTGTTTGTTCTCTTTTGTAGTAAAATCCTTAAGCCGCTTTCACAACAGAGTTCCTCATATACACCCACAATGGCAAACCCCCTGAACAGCCCCTCTGTTCATAAATCACCAGTCACCCCCCACAAATCTCATAAATATCAACTTTCGCACATGAAGCCTGAACTACAGGAAGCATGAAGTGCAGCTCATTGATGTGGAGTGATGCACATAAACTGGGTGTTGGACATCTCATTTGAAATCTCACGGCTGGCTGGTCTTTGAGACGTCTGTCAACACTATGTCACCCTCTAGTCACAATACTGGCTGACCATTTTCTATATAAACTGTTGTGTTATGGTGCTGTCACTATCTTCCTTGGTAGCTCAGAGGCTTAAAGGGATCCCTGATTAGTTGTAACATTAGACTTTATTTGATAAACATACATTTTAACTGTAAAATAAAGACTGTAAAAATACTGTTGGCTGTTTAGTTTTGTACATTTTTAAAAATATATTTTAACACGGACGGAGCCATTTTATTTACATGCAAAGCATTCTAGGTAAATGATGATGTGGATAGGTCCTCGGTGTGAGCGAGCTATATCCACCCTGAAGGTTAATCTTGGACAATATCTGATGATCGACTCTTTTAAATGAAACCAGAGAGCGTTGACAGAGAGGAGAAGGTAGAAATGACTCAGCCTGGAACTGAAAATATGGATGGAGGACAACAGAGCTGCTTCATGGAAGAAGAACCTCAGCTTAGCCTGTTAGCCTTTGTACTAGCACTGACGCTATATTGCCTTATATGTATTAGCTCAGTGCTAGTGCGATAAACTAGCTAGACTGAGGTCCTCCATCCATATTCTCAGTTCCAGGCTGAGTCATTTCTACCTTCTCCTCTCTGTCAACGCTCTCTGGTTTCATTTAAAGAGTCGATCATCAGATATTGTCCAAGATTAACCTTCAGGGTGGATATAGCTCGCTAGCAGCCTCGCACTGATGACCTACCCACATCATCATTTACCCCTCCAAAAAAATCATTTACCCAGAATGCTTTGCATGTAAATAAAATGGCCCCATCCGTGTACTATATTTTTAAACTTTAGTTTAAAAATTATAAAAACTAAACATCCTACAGTATTTTTACAGTCTTTATTTTACAGTTAAAATATATATTTATTAAATAAAGTCTAATGTTGCAACTAATCGGGGATCCCTTTAAAGCCTCCACATTCATCTGAAATGCTGAAACCGGCTCTCATTGTCGCAGTTGCATGACCAAGATTGCGTTATTTTGTTTGCAGCTTCAAGTCTTCCACCCCACATTCACACCCCTCTGTATAAGAAATGATGTGTTTGGTCAGAAGTTTGTGGGCAAGCAGACATTTGTAAAGAGATTCAAATGGCTAAAAACTCACGGATGGAGAAAAGAGACGCTGTGCACGGAGGAATCTATCTGCTGAAAAACTGTGGAGCTTTAACCAGGATAGATTTGTGGACAAATAATGGCAAATATCAAAGTTTTTTTTTTTCAAGATTGTAGACTCCAGCTGGAAAAAAAAACAAGTAGTGCAGTAATGAATACCACAGCGTATGAGGTTTCTCAGGAGCTCAGCATGTTGTGTCTCGGGCTATGAACACTGTGTGTGTGAAAATAAAAACAAACAACTACGTGACCACGCGTTGACTGTTCGGCTTCAGACAGAGTATACTGGACCCTTTAACTTGTTTGACTTTAACCTACCCCTCATGTGTCACCTTGATTCTTTTGTAAATTACATCAAAACAGCAACCAAGTCAAGTGTTTTTGACCTTTGAACTTTTGTTTTACATATGAGCTAAACATCACAGTCAGTGTTGAGTCAGGTCCTCTGGACAAGTTCTTCTTCAATGAAACATTTTTTCTCTGTCTTCTGCTTTGTCTTCTAAGAGATTGGGAGTGCGCTAAGCTTCTTAAAACCTCTGTAATGGGCGGAGTCAAGGTTTTAGTGGCCAATAAAAATGTTACACCTTATACAGGAAAAGTTTTTTAACAAATCAAATCTGTTTTGGAGGGAAAACTTTACTTCAGGACAAAGAAAAAGGGAGTGTTTTAGTTTAATTATCTTGCATCTAATTAAAGGGAGAGACATCTGCTTGCCTCAGTAAAATAAGAGTGTCACACTTAATTATTAAAATTCAAGTTGTAAGTTTCTAAGGATTAAATCATGGAATAAAACACACATCTTCTTCAGGAAAACTTTTCATCAAAACAATTAACACTACAATACACACAGCTATTGAATAGTTAACTAAGCAAAACTTAGTAGATCCTTTATGGTCTTTTTAGTTCTTTTCTGTAAGAAAAATGGATTAGATGWCATTCTTTGCAATAAGACAGAAAACATTAGAYAMACAGATTCCTTTATCTTTTCTCCTTTTTTTCACATTTAATGAAGGTCGTTTGTTCCCAGTCACGCCGAAGAGTCTGGTTAAAGGCATTTATGATCCCTTTGAAGAGGAACCAACAGACACCCCTGTGCTTATGGGGGATGGAAGCAACAGAACTTGTGGGGTTCGGAACAGGAATGTGGCAATTCTTATCTATTAACAGTAAGGCGTCAGGACGTCTGGTGGGGGTTTGTGTAAGAGATGTTAATTCGAGCCACAAAGGAAGTTCCATGCAAAAGTCTTTAGAAAATAGTCTGAAGTCAAAATGGAGGTTTTTCTTCCTTCCTGAGTCGTTGTCATAGGAACAAGTGAAATCTAATCAGAAATGATTATTTATATGCAAGAAAATGCTACAATTTTCTAAGGCGTACCAATTTTTAATTAAAGTTTTAAACTTTCATATCATTCATGTGTTGTAATTTAACCCCCAGCCACTAGTTGGCTGCAGTTTGCCAGCTGTTTGGCTCCTCCACCTCTAAAGAGCTAGGGAGTATAATGCTAGCTGAAATGTTAGCATTGTGAGTAAACATTAGCATACCGTTAGCTGAATCTGAGTAGATTAGACTGACTAATTCAAATTGTTCCGTATGAGACGCTCTTTCTCCCGACTGCAGTCTGTCACAATACAAAAGGCAAATAGACATTTGTATAGCACACCAAGCTGAGGGGAGTCCCCGAGGGGCGGTACTGAAGTGGCCAAATGCAACGACATTATGAAACACTGAGGGCATTGAAATGACTGGCGTACTCGCGCTACCCCTTAAGAGAAAGGTGCTCCRTGACAGAAACACAGAATGTAGCAGCCTTGCTTCATCTGTTTACTGAATTTTACCACAAGATAGGCTATTGTTAGTGTGGTGAGTGACCATAATATTATACTAAAAAAATTATATAAATCTAAAACCTGACACAAATATATTAAACTATTTATTAGCACATTTGGCCTAACTATTGAAAACATGGATGAAATAAGAAATATGCAACATATAAAACATTTTAAAATGAGAATTTTGGGAAAATATTGGCAACATATCGCCTTGCTTACAATATTGCACCATATCACGGTATATGGTATCATGGCCCCTGTGCCATGAAATGTATCATATCACCACCTGACTCAACCCTTGTTAGATTTTTCTGCCTAGATTGTTGAGATGCTTCAGGACAAATRTTACAGTAGCTGAACAATACTTTTGCAATGGAGCTTCTTTTTTAATTGTCTCTCTCTCTTTTTCTACGTATAGAGGAGACAGAGTTGAAGGACTGTCTGCTGGTGCTTGTTGAGGACCAGCAGAAGCTCTCGGCTCAGATGGCCAAAAGCACCCTGTCTGCTCAGCGCCTCCGCCAGCGTCTGGTCATCCTGGAGCGCTATCTCATCTCTCTGAGCCACAACATGATGGAGGAAAAATACAAGGTCCGCTGGAAGACGCCCCCCAGCCAACCTCTGCCTGCTGCTAACAACAAGAGGTACAAACCCCRCCCCAAAGCTATGTGTTTAAATAACTTGTATGACCAAGACATTACCGGTCCTTTAGGAACACTGTAAATGTGCACTAACGTTGTCCTGCAATGTCTTACCCGAGGCCACATTAATAATGGTTTACAAAACTCAATAAAAAAGATAAAACTGACAGGTTCCCTAAATGGTCTGTATTTACATATCATTGAATTTGAGTTTAACCTTCAGCTCAATTTAAACCTTTTAAACAMTCTTTAATTCAAGACTTCTTGCCACATGGTTATGGTCAGATTTTATTTCACCTTTTAAGTTGTATTATTATATATGTAGAAAAAAAMCCAACACAATTTTATGACAATATTACTCAGTTTTGCCAGCTGATAGCATATAGCACCTAACTTTAATAAGTTGATTGTTTACCAAAAACCAAAGTTTTATTTAGTTTTTAAAAGAGGAGACAACTCAGAGCAGCTACTTTGAGCACACATGAGAAAAATGGAWTTTTTTTTCTCTTTTATGTCATCATGCATTGACCTTGTGACTGATTGTTTGAAAAGCACCTCWGGGTTGATTTAATCTGTTTTTTGTTGTGGATGTTTCAGCCCTCGTCCGGCCAGTAAAAGTGTTGAAGGTCTGGCCAGAGTCGGCTCCAGGGCAGCGCTCTCTTTTGCCTTTGCGTTCCTGCGTCGAGCGTGGAGGTCAGGTAAGAATGTTGCTGGCTGCAGACTGTGGAGATTGTGATGATTAAAGTTGTCAAGGTGATGGAGCTTGGTTCAGCAGCTGCTGGTGGAAGTGTTGCAGTGGGTCACAAGTTACTCAACAGTAAACAACAGAGCATATTTTTGCAATACAGTTTTTTTATTTTCAGCTTCCTATTGCTGCTTGATAGGGTTGGGGGATATTGGCAAAAAAATCACAATTTAATTGTGGCATTTAACTGATAATGTTAAGATGATGAGTAAGAAATAGAATAAGGAACTCTAGTCTGTTTATCCTTCATCCTTTCTCAGTTTCAGGATTTTACTTGCCAGCATATAAGAAAAATGGTCTGTTGTTTTCGAGGTTCTAAAACTCTGTATTTCTTCACATCCAACCTCAAGTGTATAWAAACACACAACTATCATGTCATTATTTTAATAAACAAAAATAAAGCCTAAATGGAAAACAAAAAAAATAAAAATTGGGAAATAAAGACCATTATTGCTGCTTTCACAGGATTTGAGGTTCATAATCAGCTGGTAATGATCAAATGTATTAACTATTTAAAAAACAACAACAACAACAAAAAAAACTGTCAAACCATACAATTTCAAAAATAGAACAAAAAAAAAAATTTCTCTAACAGTAGTAGCATTGTGTTAAACAGTTTTAACACAATTCCAAGAGGGAAAACATCAGCAGTGACCTCAGAGAAGCAATTTTTGTTGCCAGTCAATATAGACAGGGCCAAAGATTATAAGTTTCATCTGATTGAATTGCAAGACTTCTGGAACAATGTCAGATTAGACCATGGTAGAGATGTTTACCCATAATGCACAGCACCATGCTTGGCAAGGACCATTCCAAACCATATCTGCTGTCAAACATGGTGGTGGAGTGCTGATTATTTGGGCTTTTTTGTAGCCAAAGGACCTGGGCACTCTGCAGACATTGAGTCGACCGTGAACTCCTCTGTAGATCAGAGTGTTGTTGAGTCAGGTATGAAGTCCTCTRTCTTGGCCCAAACAGTGCAATACACAATCTCAAACACAGCAGCAAAAGGACTGAAAAGTAGAAATGTCAAAGTCCAGACCTCAGCATGATTTAAATAGTGGGATTTCAGAAGAGCTGTGCAGAAACAATTGTATGCAAATATAATTAGCTTAAGCAATAGTGAAAGAAAACAAGAAAAAGTGGGCCAAAATCACGTGAGAGACTTGTCAAGACAAGAAAGCTGCTACTGAATGATAGGGTGACCTTTGTTCTTTTACACAGTTTTTTCTTGAATAATTGATGACATGGTGTAACCGGTTGTGCTTTTTTAAGAGTTTTTTTGTTTTTTGATTAATTGATCTCCAAGTGTAGTTCAAATCATTTACATAGCATGTAATTTCAAACTATGGCCTGAAAAATATACAGATATATTTAATAACACAAGTTAGTAATTTGTGTCCAAATGCAKGTATTTATCACCTAATCAGAATAATTGCTAGCATTTTTTTGTATTTATAGTGTGCAGAAAGTAAGTTACAACAAAACCTATTTGATTTCTAAAAAACACGACAGCAAACAAACTATAAAATAAGAAGAATGTGCTTTTATTATGGTTACTTTATTAGATGTTCTTTTTATTCAAAAGACTTGTACGGGCACAGTAGAATAAGGAACTCTAGTCTGTGTCCCTTGCCCAGATGTGGGTTACCAGGGCCCCACCCTAGAGCCAGGCCTTGGAGGATGGGTTTGTCTTCGAGCGCCTGGTGGCTGGGTCTCTGCCCATGAGGCYAGATTGATTCAAATGAGCCACATGGATTTGCCTTCCTGTGGGCCCACCGCCTGGAGAAGGGGCTATATGAGTTGGGTGCATGAAGTCATGGGCAGTAGCCAAAGACCTTGGTGCTCTGACCCTAGCCTACCAAAGCTGGCTCTTGAGACATGGAACATGACCTCTCTGGTGGGGAAGGAGCCTGAGCTGGTACACAAGGTTGGGAGGTACCGGCTAGATATAGTTGGACTTCCTTATTCTGCTGGGGGACTTCAATTCTCACTTGGGTAATGACAGTGTGACCTAGAGGAGCGTGACTGGGAGGAATGGCCTCTCTAATCTGAACCTGAGTGGTGTTCTGTTGTTGAACTTCTGTTGTTATCACGGTTTGTCCATCACAAACATCATGTTTGAATATGGGTATCCGTAAGTGCACATGGCACCAGGACACCCTATGTTGTCAGAATCAGAATCAGTTTTATTGCCATTGTCAATGAACAGGATTCACAGACTAGGAATTTGCTTTGGTGTAAAGGTGCCATAAGTATAAAATATAACAAGTAAAGAAAATATAAAGGATAAAAGAAAAATATAATAAAATATATAAAACATATGTACACCAGTTCAGTACAGTAATCAGAGCAGACAATATAGCTGGAGTAGTGCAGTTAGATCCAGTGATTAAAAGTGACCAGAAAAACATTACAGTCAAAGTTGTGCAGTTTTAAAACCGGTGATAAAGTGGCCAAGGCAGAGTTATAGTGTGACGTGATTCTAAATGTTCAAGAGTCTGACATCAGAAGGGAAGAAATTGTTCTTATGGCGGGATGTTCTGGTCCGAATGGACCAAAACCTTCTGCCTGAGGGGAGTGGTATGATGGTATTGGTATACCATTGGTATGATGATATTGGTATGATGGTATATAGATTGTTGATTGACTTTGTAGTTGTACCATCTGATCTATGGCCGTATGTTTTGGACACTCAGGTGAAGAGAGGAGCTGAGCTGTCAACTGATCACCACCTGGTAGTGAGTTGGATCAGATAGCGGGGGAAGATGCCAGACAGACCCAGTAGACTCAAATGTGTAGTGAGGGTTTCCTGGGAACGCCTAGCAGAAGAACCTGTCAGACCCAGCTAAAGTAGTGGACACTGAGTCTGAATGGGCTATGGTGGTTGTCTGTGCTTTTTGGTGGACAGCTGGTTTAGGGAGGCTGTCAAATGGAAGAAAGAGAGCTATCAGGCTTTGTTGGCTGGTAGGACTCCAGAGGCAACTGAGGAGTATCAGCAGGCCAAATGGGCTGCAGCCTTGGCTGCTGCTGAAACAAAAGCTTGGATGTAGGAGGAGTTAGGTGAGACCTTGGATAAAGACTCTTGATTGGCTCAGAGGAGATTCTGGCAAACCATCCGACAACTGAGGTGGCGAAAGCAGCACTTCATGAATGTTGTGCTCAGTGAAGGTGGGGTGCTGTTGACCTCAACCAGTGATGTTGTCAGAATGTTCTTTAAGACTCTTGATGTTGTGAGCCTGTCTTGTCTCCTTTGCAATATTGCGTGGACAATCAGGGGCAGTGCCACTGGGTTGATAGACCGGGGTAGTGGTTTCCCTCTTCAAAAGGGGGACCAGAGGGTGTGTTTCAGTTATAGGGGTATCATTCTCCTCCCGATAGTCTATTTACGGGGCCTGGAGAAGAGAGTCTGATCGATGGTTGAACCTCAGATTCTGGAGGAACCATGCTGATTCCATCATGGCCATGAAACACTGGACCAACTCTTTACCTCTTCCAAGTTCTACAGTAGCCTGATAATGACCCATTCTTTCATATCAGGTGTGATGGAGCAGAGAAACAAGTAAAACATGCAGGACTGCGGCCCTCAATGCCCACTCCTGCTCTATACAAATGGTGCAAGAGTTTGGTTTGCGTTGCTGGCAGTAAGTCAGAGTTGGACTCAGCCAGGGCTGCCTGTTGTCACAGATTCTGTTCATAACTTTATGGACAGAATTTTCTCAGTGTACCAAGGGAGTCCAATTCAGTGGTCTCAGGATTCTATCTCTATCGCTATTTGCAGATGATGTGGTTCTGTTAGCGTCATCGCGCCATGATCTTCTGCTCTCACTGGAACAGTTCGCAGCTGAGTGTGAATCAGATGGGATGAGGATCAGCACCTCCAAATCTGAGTCCATGGTTCTCAGTCAGAAAAGGGTAGATTTCTTTCTCCAGATTGGGGGAGATCTGCTTCAAGTGGAGAGGTTCAAGCATCTTGGGGTTTTGTTCACAAGTAAAGGAAAAATGGAGTTTGAGATTGATAAACCGATCGGTGCAGCTTCTGCAGTATTGTGGACTCTGTACCGGTCTGTTGTGGTGAAGAGGGAGCTGAGCTGTAAGGCAAAGATCTCTGTTTACTGATTAGTCTATGTTCCTACTAGTGCTGTACCAAATGATTATTTTCTAATCGATTAATCTAACGATTGTTTTTTCGATTAATCGATTATTCTAACAACAAATCTATAAGTTATTTTGATGTGAGTGCACTGGAAATTTAAAATGTTTTCATCAAATTAACAAGAACAGTTCTTTAATATTGTAATATTTTCTTTAATAGTTTTTTCATGGACACAAAATATGCACACGAGTCAGTTCTTCAAAAAAAGCTTAAAATCAATATAAAATCTCAACCAAAGCATATAAAATTCAAGTAAAAGAAATATATTACAAGATATTAACAATCTAACAAATGAACTAAGTCATACAAAATTCAAGTCACTCTGGAAAAACTATAATAAACATTTATTTATTATTTTTTATTTAACGTATTTCTCAATATATAAAAATTAACAAATATCAAGACAACATCCAACTCTTTGYATTGTAACATCAGTTGTATAACTTATTTCTTTAAGGTGAAAACTCTTGAAAACAACAAGACTGTTTCATCTTATTGCACAAATTAATATCCAGCTCCACATGTTTCTATTAATGTCATTTCCCTGCTAGAAACCTTGTGTGATGGAGGTCCATGGAAGGCAAATATGTTTAAATCAAATAAACAAAAGAGGATGCAGTTAAAATGAATAAAAGGTATTCAAGCTACGTTTTGAACATCCAAAACACGTCCAACACTTGTTGGCTGCTTGTGYTCTTTAGGTCAGACGTGTGTBGGGAAGCTCCTCTGTYGTTTGAGACGCTGGGGGAACCGTCTGATGGGGGAACGGGGCTCGACCTAACACCGGTCTCTGTTTAATGGTGGATGAAATAAAGAAAGTGGCGGTACTTTATTTACTTTGAGCAAGCGAACGTCGTGCTCACAAGATAATTAATCCACCAGATAATTCAGAGGCGGTCTGTTCGATAAATTTTACTTCAGGAGCTGCGCGCTGCGAGGGTTATTTTCTAGCTTTAGACTGAACTGAATCAGCGGCTGCTGACGTCATTATGCTCTTGCACGATGCTGCGTTTAGGACAAGCATGAAAAACTCACCACTCTTATGCCAATACGGTCTCAATGATGCATTTAGCTACCAAAATGGAATTGCATGAACATTCATGTGGTGGTTATGTAATACAGCGAATCGATAATAAAAAATCTGCGTCAACAAATTTACATAATCGGCGTCATTGATTATTTCAACTAATCGGTGCAGCCCTAATTGTGACGTCCATGGCCTACCCCAGTTACCCACTAACTGTGCATGTGTGTCAAGGACAGAAAGGCAGATGTGGCAGTGGAAGGTGTCAAAGCAGTTTGGAGAGGAAAACAAAGTAAAGAACAAAAAAAGAGAAAACGACTAATCGATTATTAAAAATTAGTCATCTATTATTTTAATAATGATTAGTTGTCGATTAATCGATTAATCGATTAATCGTAGCAGCCCTAGTTCCTACCCTCACCTATGGTCACAAACTTTGGGTAGTGACCAAAAGAACAAGATTGCAGATACAAGCGGTCAAAATAAGTTTTCACCGCAGGGTGGCTGGACTCTCGCTTAGAGACAGGGTGAGAAGTTCAGTTATCCAGGAGAGACTCAGAGTAGAGCCACTGCTCCTCCACGTTGAGAGGAGACAGATGAGGTGGTTCAGGCAACTAGTAGGATGCCTCTTGGACATTGCCCTAGAGAGGTGCTTCAGGCATGTCCGACTGGGATGAGACCCTGGGGAAGACCCAGGACATGCTGGAGAGACTTTTTGCTGGCCCAGGAACTCCTTGGAATCCTCTGGAAGAGGTGATTGGGTAAAGAGAAATCTGGGCCTCCCTGCTCAAGCTGCTGCCCCCGTAATGCTACGTTCACACCRAACACGTTTTGAGCTGCAGGAGCGGCCCGTTTACATGCAAAGTCTATGGAGGAAACGCCTCTAGGGGTCTCGCGGTGCATCTAGTCCATTTAGCGTGGCACGCAAGGAAGCGGAAGGTAGCAGTAGAGCATTTTCCATGCATGCGGTGCGGCGGAAGCAGCCAAYGCTCAWGTTAAAAATCTGAACTTTTGCTGCTCGATGACTGCAGCAACCAATCAGAGAGACTCATTTTTCCATGTGACGGTTTCCTGAATGTTGCCCACTAACCTGAAACAGACGGACAGGAGCTCTTTAGCTGAAATCGACCGTCTRCAGTTGGTGTTCTGGCAGGAAATATCAGCACCGATGTGGGTCTGCAGCTCATTAAACTGACCACGGTGTTAAACTGGGCTCGGGACAAAAAATAGTTCGTCAGCTCGCAGCTCTTGGAGTGGTGAAACTAACCGAACAAACCGCCTCTAAATTATCTGGTGAATTAATTATCTGGTGTGCGCAAYGTTCGTTTGCTCTTTAGTAAATAAAGCAAAGCCATTTTCTTTATTTTATCTTTATTTCTTTCATCGGCCGAAGACAGACCRGAAAAAAACCAAGACACTCCTCCCTCTTCAGACATGCGTCTAGTCTGTGTCCCGRTCTGAACATAGYGGGTCCAACGTGAGGCGTTGGGCGCATTTTTGCTGCTCAAAACGTGTTCGGTGTGAACATAGCATAACCCAACTTGAAATAAGTGGAAGATAATGGATAGATGGTTCTGTTGTAATTATTTCCAYAGCTATCATTTAAAATTAATACAATCTATAAAATACTAGAACACCTAAGATTAAAAAGGTCAACACCCCACCCTTTTTACAGAGAATAGCTATTGAAAAACATTTTAATTTACTTTTTTTAAAATCATTTTAATTAAAGACATCCTGCATTTATTCCCATTTGCCATTTATTCTTCCTGGAGTGTACACCAGTGACGGATGCTGGTCTTTCAAGAAGGGGAAGCTCAATTTCAGCCTACATCATAAAATGTGTCGGTTTATTTATACGTAAATTCTACCCTCCGTTCCTTTTCAAGAAGAAGGTCACAGATCATTTTAACAGCACTTCCAGTCAGCTAGCTCACTTTATCATACCAGGACAGCTGAAAAGACCTGTTACTTTTTCCYACCTTTTGCACCAAATTAATCTGAGGAGCTGATCAGCCCTGCTGCTAAGTTTTTCTAAATGGCTTCGCCAAAATCCGGTCCACAACATTCCAACTGTCTGTCGTTATGTGCAGCTTGTTACTGGCGCGAGGCTAGTGTGAAGTGCATCCGCCTGTGGGTGCTTTGTGATGATGAAGGAGCTCAGCAGCATCCGCTGGACAGAAACTGAGATAGAAGTCAGAAAGAATCAAATCAAATCAATTTTATTTATAAAGCGCTTTAAAACAGCGGCCGCTGACACAAAGTGCTGTACACAAGGGGCCAAAAACAATAAAACAAATCAACACTAAAAAACACTCAAACATTAAAAACAAGTAAAAAAAAATCAGCTAAAAAAGGCAAAGATCTCAAACTGTGTTAAAAGCCAGTGAATAAAAATAAGTTTTAAGATTAGTTTTAAAAACAGCCAATGAGGAGACCTGCCTGACATGTAGAGATAGCTCATTCCAGAGCTTTGGAGCAGCAACTGAAAATGCTTGATCCCCTCTGAGGGTTTGCTTTGTCCTGGGTACTTTAAGGTACAACTGATCGGCTGACCGGAGATACCGTGCAGGGGCAYAGGGGTGGAGAAGCTCGGAGAGGTAAGATGRGGCAAGGCCATGTAAAGATTTTAAAACAAATAAAAGAACCTTAAAACTAACTTCAACATGCACAGGCAGCCAGTGGAGAGAAGCCAGAATGGGTGTGATATACTCCCTTTTACATGTTCCAGTTAGCAAATGAGCAGCAGAATTCTGAACCAACTGGAGCCGTGCAATGGAGGACTGGCTAACTCCAACATAAAGTGCATTACAGTAATCCAGCCGAGAGGTGATGAARGCATGGATTACAGTTTCAAAGTCCTGGTGCGAGAGAAAAGGCTGATAGAAGTCAGTCTCCAAACACAAGCAGCTACAAAAAAMCCCACCAGAAATAGAAGCTTGATTTGTCACTAGTCCTTTTTTTAACAAAGAAAATGCTGCTAAAAGTATTAATAAAATCTCCGGTTCAACTCAGAACAGAAACGAAAGTAAAAAATGCTCCCGCTTACACCAAAAGATAGCTGATTTGCTCATTTCGCTGTCAATCAAAAAGGGATTCAGCGGCAGACAGATCATCCAATCATCATGCAGAAGCTGAGCRTCCCGGTCAGCTGAGGCCAGCCCACTGCCCCATAGACCCCCAGAGACKCTGAGAGTCCGATGKGCGGGACAAAGCCAGCWTTTATCSAGTGACTCATCTCGTTTCGCTGCACTGTTTGCTTCGCTATTGAACTCTTTGGATGCCCAGCTTYYGCACTGTTTAAAGCACTGTGAAGCTGTGGGAATGAGTGAGAGGAAAGTCGTRTCATTATTACCAGTGATAAGAAGCTGATTCTGAACAAAAGTTAAGTGCATTGTAGCGCATATTTACTTAATGACATGTACACACAACAATAWATATTTGATCACTCAYTTTTGACATTTTAGGGGAAGCTGAGCTTCCCTTGCAATCKTAGAGCAATCACCACTACACACACTGTGTCCTTGTCATCTTTAGGTAAGGGTCCCCCAGGTTGCAGAGCTTAATCTAAGTTTTATTTATARCTGTCCTCTTTTCTACAGTAATGTGTTGTATAAGCTATTCTCCTCAGGCTTTCATGTCTCATACACTGAAACATCAAATTGTGCCCTCCATAAATAGGCACTCACTAAATTCACTCCACACTAGAGTTTATTAGAAAGCACATTTTGGAAGTGGACTCATTCTTCAGTCACATCCTCCATTGTTAGCTTTGCAAGCGGAGAAGCTGTTTTTTGTTCCGTGTACTTTATGTGAGGTTAAAAGCTGCTTGCCCACTGGGACTGGGTGGGAACAAAGTGCCGTCTTCGTCTTCCTGTAACATGAGTGCTGCACAGACACACACAGATATACAGTTAAGCCCCTTGTCCTCATTTTAGCTCTAATCCAGGAATACAACTGTGAGAACAGTGTAAGTGTAGCAGCATGTTCTACCACCTGTCACCTGCTGATCAAACATAAATACTTGTCACAAAATGACTTGGTAATCTGTAAATATATATTTGTTTTTTAAAAATTGTTTTAGACTAGATAACATATTTGAACTATGTCATTAATACATACGGTGGTGCATCAAGGTGATTGTGCATTAGGAAAAACAAAGTACTATCAATGCTTTCATTCATGTTTAGTACTACTAAATATGATTAAATTATATTCGTTCACGTTTAGCTTGGCTAACAACAAAATTTGTATTGTGGATTTACAATATAATTTATAGTGTAATCAGCAGCTGATAATGAACAGGTGATGTTTGTTCTTCGGTGCAGGAGATGATGCAGATCTTTGCAGTGAACTTCTCCAGGAGTCTCTGGATGCTCTGCGGGCGCTGCCTGAGGCGACACTTTTTGACGAAGGAACCGTGTCGTCAGTGTGGCTGGAAGTTGTTGAGAGGGCMACAAAGTTCCTGAGGTTTGTGTTTCCTGACGAGTTATTAACTACTTATGTTAGAAATTTAATTATCCAGCAATTTGATGAACTTAAAATGTTAAATATTTACAATTTGTAGCATCTTTGATATGGTCTTTTTATTTTTATCTCTTAATTTTTTAATCTCTTTTTTAATCTTGATCTTTTTGTTATTTTCATATGTTTTATAAACTATTGTTAAAGAGGCAGTTCAGATATTTTGACATGGGGTTCTGTAGAAAGACTATGAACACTTACCATTTTTATGTGTTTATGTGAGAAAGGTTTAATGTGAAAAATCATCCATAAAGTTGGGAGATGGTTATGGTGAGTGGGGATGGATATAAAATCCATATGAGCGGAGGCCTCCTAAGTGGGCCCATTGCTCTCCCCAAAAAGCCGCTGGTCTTCATTCAAACCTTCTCGTCCCTCGGATGAAGGACAAAGGTTGGGGGATTGTATTATACACAGGAGTAAATTTTGACATTTTTTAATGTACTACAATAAATTTCAATATTTTCTCCTATATAACAGGAGGATAAATCATCATAATTTCTTCGTTTGGCCCTCCCACTGTACTGTTTACCTCAGAATTTAAACAACAAAAATAATTTTTTTTTCACATCGCAGACTGAGGAGGAAAATCGTTTAATTTTTTTCTTCTTCTTGATAACCACTAATATGGCAAGAAAGCGTAGAAGTTAGTTGCACGTTTGTGTGCTCAATAGATTCAGACATGCTACTTGCTATTTTAACCACCGGCTCCTGCTGATGGACCGGACCGTTTTCAGTGACATGAAGCTTGCGCTGCTGCTCTGGAGCCACAAAGACACCCACAAATATGTACCTCAAAATAATCTGTTTCCCCAYCAGAGGATACACTGCAAGAAGGCTGAAAAATCCTGACGTTTATGAAATTAGGAGTATCATTATAAATGAGGATTAGATTTTTTAACCCCTTTTCAACAACAAAAAAAGGGTGGTGGTGTGACATTATACATGCATAAATATGGCAACACCAATTGCAGCTAGCTCATTAATCAACTTCAGTTTGGAAAAATAAAGCTTTAATAAATGTTTTGTGACTGATGAGCTGACCGCTTGTCTGAATAAGGTGTATTTTGCTACCTTTAAAACAACCCTTCAGATATTTACAGCGGATTATGCAAACACTGTTTTATGAACATTTCCCTGCCTGCAGTTTTGCATTACATTTATTTTGGCAGAAATAGAATAGAATTCCTGCAGGAAAGTTTCCAGTCTGAACAGGAAGTACTACAACTTGTTGCCACCACTACCTGCATTTTCAAATCATCTCAAAGTCTTATCTAAATAAGAGAATTTTAGTTGTTTTTGTAGCTCATCACTTCTGTTAATCTTGAACAACTCATCTGAGGTAATTCAGAGATTATCTACAGCAGGTTAGATATTAATTGTTCACAAAACAGCAAGGTGATGGCCATATCCCTCCAATGTACATGTAGATGATGAATGTCTTGTTTTCTTTTGGACCAGTGATGTGCATGGAAATGCCAGCACCAAAGGTAACATTCCTCTTCAGGACCAGCACCTTGCTCTGGCCATCCTGCTGGAGCTGGCTGTGCAGAGGGGTACTCTGAGGTAACGTTATTCCTCCAAAATTTGACTCATTTCCATATTTTTTTATATTTTATGTCATTTTGGTTAATACAATGTTTTTTTTTTTACTTTGGCTCATTGTAACATCCTTCTAGTCAGCTGCTGTCAGCTGTCCTGTTGCTGCTGCGCCTGTGGGATAACGGCACTAAAGAGATGGACAACGAACGCTCCACACAGGGGACCAGTGCTCCTCTTCTGCCCCTCCTGCAGCGGTTTCAAAACATACATAGCAGCAAGGAAGAGGCTGTTTTGGATGAAGATGCTGAGGTAAAAAAAAAAGAATGAGCAACTACAACTCGGATCAGAAAAGTTGGGACAGGGTAGAAAAAAAAACAAAGTTACTTTTATATTTAATCATTTAAATTGACTTATTAACAAACTTTTGGGAGCCCAAGAAATGTTTTGTCCATTGACTTCATTTAATTTACTATATACATTTCCATTTTCTCTTAAATGATTACTTGTAAAATTAGACATTGTAAAATTAGACATTAGACATTATTTACTTCAACTGTAAAACAAATACTTTAAAAATACTGTAGACTGTTTAGTTTTTTAAATTAAAGAAAATATATTGTCACATGAACGGCACCATTTTATTAACACAGTAAAGCATACTGTGTAAATTAGGACGTTCACTAGGACTTCCTGTACGAGGCTGTGAGCTTATATCCACCCTGAAGGTTAATTTTGGACAATATCTGGCATTCAGCCGTTTAATGAAACCAGAACGCCTTGACAGAGAGGAGAATGTAGAAATGACTCAGCCTGTTACTGAACATGTGGATGAAGGACAACAGAGCTGCTTAGAGAACCTCAGTTTAGCCTGTTAGCTTGAAACAGAGTCAGTGTGTCTTATCAATATGAGGCCGTTGTGTCTGTATAAACAAAGTTGGTTACGTTCTAAGGTCTGACCCACTCCAGGGGTGTGACCAGGAAGATAGATGTACTTTAATAAGTTGATTCATCATTAATAATTATGCAGTCTTCTCTTAGATCAGCCTGGGACAGTCTAGGCTGCTAGAGAGGGATTGTTATTGTTTTTGTTCCRATAAGAACCAAGGCCTCTCACAGAGATGCTGCTGTGGGTCTGATTGGAGTCTAATTGAGAATGAAGTATTTAGAAGATGATCAAAAATTTCTATTTTATTCAGACTCCCAATTTACTGATCACAATTTTCTTACACTTTCATTTTTGTGCCAAGCTAATAGTGTAATGAAAACATAATCAATAAATGGACGTATGAATAAAACAACTGAAATCAGTTGATTCTCTTCTAAAAAGGCTTTATTATCTCTCTCTTCTCTTYAATATTTTTTCTTCTGTCTGCTTTTTATTTCATTCATGACTTGTATTTTGTTATTTTATTGTATATAGATGCATTTTGTTTTTTGCCTGTTTAATAAATACTCCTAAATACCTCTTGTATTCATAAGTGGGTCAAATTCAACATATTTAAAAAAGTTAAAGAATTTGCCACTTTAAAATGCTGCTATTTTTTTTCTCTTTGAAGAAATCTTAAATTAAATTTTCTACTTAAAGTTGCCTCAGCAGAAAAGAAAAGGAGAACACTGATCCCATCTAGTACATTCATATAGCTTGGATTTGGTATTTGATACTAACAACAGTCTGGTTGGTCCTTTATGTCTTCTGACTGGAAAACATCTGTTTAAAAAACTAAAGATCCATCCACTCTTCTAATATATGATAAAGATAATGTTGAGCCTGAAGTTTCTGGACATGGCCGACCAAAACATCACATACATTTAAAATAATAGATGAAAATCTTTAGATTTGTTACTTTCCTACTTTGTCTGATCGTATTTAAAAGCTTCAAAAGGTAACGAATGCCTTGATTGTAATTTTTAGATTCTCGTGGCCCCCCTGAGTCCCAATGAAAGTTTCCTGCGTTATCTGACGCTGCCTCAGGACAATGACCTGGCCATTGATCTTCAACAAACAGCTGTAGTGATCATGGCTCACCTGGACCGCCTAGCTTCTCCTTACAGCCCCCCACACTGCAACTCGCCCTCTTCACATAAGGTGACAACCCCTCTTATATTATGTCAGTGCTGCAAAAATTGTTTTGCAGTAATTTGTTGAAAATAGCTAAATTAATGCTTAAATATATTTTGAGTTTAAAGTTATCAGAAAGATTTTAATTGTTACCATGACTTCCAGTGTTTTATATGCCTTATAGATTTGGTAAAGAGAAAGTTGTAAACTGGAAACTTACGTCTCTGTCATTTCAGGGGACCTTACAGGAAGTAATGGCCTGGGGCCTTTTGGGTTGGAAACTATATGCCAATGTCAACGGACCCATTCAGTGTAAAGCCCTGTCAAGCCTTGGGGTCACACAAATAGTTTGTTCTGAAAAGGGCTTTCTCATCCTGTCCAGCAGCGGTGCTGTTTACACCCAGAACTACAAGAGCACAACCCTGGTCAGTTCTGTCGCTCTGATCTTTTCTGTTCTGTTGATGAATTCACTTCTGAAAAATAAACAAGAAGTTTTGTTTTCGTGTTGGCTTCAACTCAACACTGAGTGACTGAGTATTGTGTTTAACAGGCTCCTATGCTCGTTTATGGTCTGAGCTCCAGAAAGATTATGAAGCTGGCGGCTCATCCCGATGGGCAGCACTACCTTGCCCTGTCGTCCAATGGGGAGGTGTTCTCATGGGGTTGTGGTGACGGGGGCCGTCTTGGACATGGAGACACCACGTAAGCTTCAAGACAAAGTTTCTGACTGTATTGATCTTTTTCATACCTTAAAATAATCAGACTCTTACCACGGTTGTATCCGCACTGCTACATACTTTTAGCCAGTCTTTGTGTTTGGTCCTGTTAACTTAGGTAAAATGAACTATCTATGCATGAACTGAAGGTCCATACCAGCAAGTACTTGGTGTTGGTTAATCCATGGGTGCAAAAATACAAAAAAAAATAAATAAATAAATAGTTGCTTGAAGTACAAGATGATATGGTATGGATGATAGAAAAACTGGTTGTCTCCACACCCAACAAAGTCAACAAGCGTCCAAAGAAGGTGTGGTTCTCATACTAAATTATAACAGTGCCCTCTCCTGGCAAACAAAAGAAACACCAACCACAGAATGTCAAACAAAAATACCCATTTGAGGCAAACAAGGCTATTTGGCCCATATGCTTTGTTTTGATAAAGCTTGTTGTTATTTCCTCATCTGCAGCGAGGAGCTCGCGGGTCTCGAAAAAAAGAAAACACTATACTTTAAATCCGAAAGTAGTCCAGCTATGGTGGTTTGGCGTAAGAAACACTTGGTTGGTGTCAGTTAGCACTACTCTGTCCCACCTTTACAGGAGTCAGCAAGTTTCTGTCACTATCTTACCTGGAGGTGCAACAGATGGTGGTGGGGAACTCTGTTGTCCCCGCCCCCAACCCCCGCCCCCGGCCCAGTTTTCATAGCAAACTTGTGGAAACTCACGTGACTTATATAGGGATAGGTACCTTTGACATTTGAATCGATTCGGTAACAATATCCGGTACCTGGGAATCGGTACTTAACGGTACCAATTTTCGGTACTTTGTGTGTGTTGTTTTTTTATAATAAACCTTTTTTTTATTTAACATATTTAACTCTCAATACCTTATATMAAATTTAACAAATATTAAGACAACATCCAACTCTTTGTATTGTAACATCAGTTGTTTAACTAATTTCTTTAAAGTGAAAACTCTTGAAAACAACAAGACTATTTTGTCTTATTGCACAGATTAAAATCCAGCTCCATGTATTTCTATTGATGTTGTTTCCCCGCTAGAAAAATTGTGTGATGGAGGCCCATGGAAGGTAAATAAGTTTAAATCAAATAAGCAAAAGAGGATGGAGTTAAAATAAATAAAATATATTCAAGCTACGTTTTGAGCATCCAAAACATGCCCAAAATTTCGAGTTGACTGCCTGTGCTCTTTCAGGTAAGACGTGTTCAACAGCGCCTCTGTTGTTTTCCTCTGCCGGTCTCTGTTAATGGCGGATGAAATAAAGAAAGTGGCGGTACTTTATTTACTTTGAGCAAGCAAATGTCATGCTGACCAGATAATTAATCCACCAGATAATTCAGAGGCAGTCTGTTCGGCGAGTTTCACTCCAGGCTCAGTTTCAAGCTACACCGAACTCCACTGAACCAGCGGCTGCTGACGTCATTACACTCTTGCACGATGCTGCGTTCAGGACAAACATGGAAAACCCACCACTCTTAATGCCAATACAGTTGCAATGATGCGTTTAGGTACCAAAACATGGTACCGTTTGATGTTACGTGAATACGGTAGGTACTCGGTAGTACCAACAGAATTCGGCCGGTACTTATAAAAGTATCGAATTTGGTACCCATCCCTAGATTTATACGGTCATCATTTTTAAATACTGGCACCATATTTTGATACTGCGATAAACTAAAATGTCATCATACCACCCAATCCTACTAACTTGTATAAAGTCAAATCTGTGGCTGTTAAAGGTTTTCACACTAAAAGAACTGACTACATTTTGAGTGAGAATGAAAATCTGTTACTGATTAAATCCTATATTAGAGATCGACCAATACAGGTTTTTGAAGGCCGCTACAGATTATTTTCAGTTTTTTTTTAAGTTCATAACTCACCTTTATTGCTCTTGGCACTCTGTCTTACAACATTACTAGCCGCTCTCTCCCAGGGAGGGGGCGGCAACACATACGCTCGTGTGAACAAAGGAAAGGATCGGCCAAATGGATGAACGTATCGGCCAATACCGATACAAGGAAAAAATGCAAGTATCAGCTAAAAATATCGGCTGGCCTATGCATCGGTCAACCCCTATCCTATATAACCAGTGGTTACTTTTTATTGCAAAAACACATCTTCCAAACGTTTCTGCCACCTACCATAATTTTTCTTTCTCTTTTTATTTCAGTTATCTTGAAGAGCCCACAATGATCGCAGCCTTCAGTGGGAAGCAGAATGGAAAGCACGTGGTGCAGATTGCTTGTGGGAGCACATACAGTGCTGCTATCACAGCTGATGGAGAGCTCTTCACATGGGGCAGAGGGAACTATGGTCGACTGGGTCATGGTGAGCTCTGTGTGAACTAAAGCTGCTTTTTTAAATATTATGTTTTTCTGTTTTTTTTWATTTAAAATGAGTGTGGTTTTGTGTATTTTTCTAGGCTCTAGTGAAGACCAGACTACACCAATGCTAGTAACAGCTCTGAAAGGACATAAGGTGGTGGATGTGGCATGTGGAAGTGGGGATGCCCAAACACTTGCTGTAACTGAAAATGGTTAGAGTTAATTATTTGGTTTAATTTGGTTAATTCAGAATAGAGCTGCATGATATATTATTTGAGCATCGTCATTGCAATGTACGTGTTCGTTATAGTCACATTGTAGGTCCTGCGACGTAGGAAGCAAATTAAATCAACGTGCTATCTAGGACCTAAACCACCAAACCATAAGCAGGGTTTCCCTCAGTGTATTATAGGCAATCCTTGCTCCAGACTTGCTCCCCTGTCAGTTTTGTTTTGTTTATTTAGAGCCTGCACCCCAACAGAGATTGTCTCAACAGGATAAGAAGCTAGGACATAGCATTAGCAACTTAGTGCTCCACTTCCTAGAGCAGGGCTATTCAACTACATATCTCTGGGGGCCACAATTAATGCAGTCCAACAGCACATGGGGCTGAACATCTAGCAAATACAGTCATTATGTACACTCACCGGCCACTTTATTAGGTACGCCACGCTAGTAACGGGTTGGACCCCCTTTTGCCTTCAGAACTGCCTCAATTCTTCGTGGCATAGATTCAACAAGGTGCTGGAAG